TGTCACACGGTGATGCAAATGCGACGTAGTTCGGTCTCTCAGTAGTCATAAGCCAATGAGCGCATCTTCACGCTCGGCGACGGCTGACTTAGACGGTCGCGACATCACCATCTTTTCCGCCATTGCGACCTTCCGCTCCGCCGCCTATAGTCGCTGGAATGGTCGAATTCATAAGCACACATCAATGCTACGTGAATAATAAAAATGCATAGGACCAACGCATTGTTGCACAGAACAGAACTCCGAAAAACCTGAGTATTTATACTAAAGCGAAAACAGAGCAAAAGGAACGGTGAGTTCAGTGCTTTTACTTTATTAACAACATCGACCTATATTATTAATATTACAGTCATAGGAGATCCCACATAATCTGCAATTAAAGTTACAGGTATAGATGGGCTGCTGTTTTTCACCAGCGTGGCCCACGCTTTATAAACTGCAAATATTGCATCGCCAACGTTATCGTTATATAATATTTGAATGTTTCCAAGACAACTGCAACTATAGAAAGAGCAGTAGCTAAATGAATCAGTACGCACAATTGCCAGTTTACAGAGAAGGTTTTACTCTTGAACCTAGAACTGCATACCCTCTGAAATTACCTGCTAATATTAGCGGTAACCCACCACGATGACGTAAAAAATTACCATCGTGTTCACGTCTTTTTTAGGCACGCCACCAAATGTGTATACGCAAATTGCCAATGCTTGGCCCTCGCGACACTACTCGGTTTTATGACATCACTAAAGAAAGGAGTACTCAGTAAAAATAAAATAAATTGCACTTGTTTTGCAATAAACGTTGGCTGTAAGTCCAGCACCGTGTTTTCTTTCCTTTTCATTTGTGCCGTCTTTCGCGCTCTTTACTCGCCGTCTATACCCTACAGCACCAACCAGCTCAATCAAGCTTACTATTTATTGCTTATAGGCAACTTTTTTGTGTTTCGAGTCTTTTTTCAGGCTTGGATTCATTGTGTTTATATACTCTCATTATACCATGGAGCAAACCGCGCCTAAAGGTCGAACAAACATATCGGTTACAGTGCACTAGAGGGCTTTTGGGTAGTGTGCTCAGGAAAGGTTGTCGGCTGACGCGTTACGCGTCGACGCCGCGAGGCGGCGCCACGGCTGCATCGGATGTACGCGTTGGCGGCGGCCGACCTCGGGCGGCTATGCGAACCGCGGCAAATTTGCGCAGCAATTACTATTCAACTGATTTTCGTTAAGAATGGCTCTTTCCGGAATGGCTCTTCCCGGTTGTGCGAAAAAAACTCCGACCAGCTACCGCTAAGCAATTAACTATTAAACCCCGCAAACAAAAGTTAGCTGTTGGGGCGACTACAAGCTGAGATGGCGCAAAAAAAAAGCAACGTCCTCGTAACCAATGCGAACTTTTTATTTCACAGGTAAAGCAATACACTCATGATCAACGACTGATCTTCCCGTGCAGTTTCTTCTTCCTGCGATCTGCTCGTGACTGATTCAGTCCTCTCACATAAAAATGAAGTCTTGTCAGAACATAAAACATGATTAGTTCAGCTGTGAGGTCATCTTCATGCTGCGAGCAGCCGATACTTTCTCCAAACTGCGACTTCACAAGTGACATCACATCAAGAATGCTATCACTGCACACCTTCTCTTGACTGAAATGCACAGTGAACATATCTTCTAACTGCTTCACTGCCTCAAACACTGCCTGTGAGGGGTACACCAATCCTCCCTTGACACACAATACCATAAACTGGCATGCTTCGTCTTTGTTGTTGACAGAGCTGTCCAAAAGACTACCTCTGCACTCCTCGCAATTGCTACGGTAAAGGAACTTGCGAGCGACAAACCCTGTGTCACAAAACGAGCGCTCAAAAGGTGCGCGCCGCCGAATTCTCGCCATAAAGCGCGGGAGAGACGCCGCGAGGTCAACGATAAAAAAAAAGAAAGCAAGCATCTAAAGACTCCCCGGGCGGCGACCCTCTCCCCTCGGAAGCGTAGGTTCGCCGATGAACCTCCTCACCCCACATCGGTGGCCGAGCAAGGCCTCGAAATTTCTAGATGGAAAGGGGCGTGGTGATGCCGGGTTGAGTCATCCGTCGCGGACGGCCCTCGTATCGTCTCGACCTTTCCCCCAGCCTTCGCTGTGCATCGCGCCGAAGAAATGATGAGAACTTTCTGGAATCTCGCGCGGAAGGTATTTAATCGAGCAGCCGAGATGAGAGATCAGGAGAAGACGGAAGTTAGCGCCAGAGCGCGTAGGGATTCCACCGTGTAGTCGGCGAACGTTTTGTCCGTAGAGACAAAGCAGGAGAAGAAGATGATTTCTACCTGAGGGGTGACGACTCGAGCTACAGGCAAGAGTGTGTGTTTACCGCTATCGAGCGAAGACGCGTGGCAAATGCTGCGTGTGTGAAGCCGACGTGTTTCCGGCGAAGAAGTTTGAAGCTTGGAGAGTGGCCAATTGAAGACACGAGGTTTCCTGGAAGAGAAACTTCGGCGAGGTTTCCTGGAAGAGAAACTTCGGGGGCAGCGGAACGACAACAACGCTGGACTTTGAGTGAGTGATTCTCGGAAGAGTATCATTCAGACTTTTGTTCCAAGAACTTTGGACTGAATAAGTTTTCTAACTCTTTAGTCTTCAAGTGTCTTGGTTGTTCAATGCATGCGACTGCATTGTAGTGCGTATTGTTGTCTGTGTCCGTTGTTTCGAGTGTGGCTGATTGTACTGTGTACTAAGTTGTTTGATTGGTGACATATTGTACTCAGCTATTGTGGAGTGTGATACTTGTGTATTGTTTTTATCTGCCATTTTTGAGAATATAATTTTTGTTTTGTTTATCAACTCTCGGCTCGGACTTGTTCTTTGGGCCACAGCCGGCGTCCGCTGGCGCGCCAAAAAGGACTACTTCTAAATTGTCCACGCTTTCGTGGTGCGGTTCGAGGGGCCGATACTTCGGCTCTTGGAATTAGTCCGGCGATCGCTTCCCTAATTAACGGGACCTGTGAAACCCTGCTATATAATGTACGAGTCGGCTGTCACTCCTTTGTTCAATACACGCTTTGTGATCAACAGGAACCCTGTGGAGTAGGCGTTAAGCTGAAGCCAAGTCTCCTGACTCAATGAACTTATCAAGCGTGCTAACACTATTCTCTGGAACACCAACATCACGTGCACTCAGTAGAGAACTTAAATCCTCACTACCTTGGACTTGCTCGGCATTACCTGCACCAACAACCTTAGCAAAATTGTAAAAAGAAAAACAGTTGACGACAATGAAGAATTGTGTCAGTGTGGGGTGGTTGTTGGAGCCGAATGATTGCCTGATAATTCCAAAAAAGTCGCCCAAGGGGTCCTGACTCAACCGAGATGTCATAATGTACTTGTATCCATGCACTGCAAGGTAATCCAATAAGTGAAGAGTGCTCGCTATTGTCACCTTCAAACCGTCGGCTGTTGATTTACTTAAAAACCCACTGCTTCTTTTGCCTTTTCAACGTTCACTGCACCGCGCATGCATTTCTTTTCTGCTTTTAGATGAGTTTCCCACTGAGACAAGAAATGCTAGAAAGTCCTTCAGCAGTTGCACACCCTTGGAGCCAGGACGAAGAGCTTTTTCAGGGAAGCGTAAAGTCATAGTTGTGATCAGTCTGTTGGTGAGTCTGAAAGATAATAAGTACATAACTGCAATGTTTATTTTTTTCTTTTATGTGAACAGCAAGAACAACAAGAATGATAAAATCAACACGTAAGTTCTTATTTTCATCCTTACCTGAAAAATGACAACGTTGCGTCAAACTTGCCCCATGAGGCTCGAATCTTCCTTTGTAAAACTGGAGACCAGTGATCACAAGGTTACCAAAAAGCTGAAAGGCGTAGTGCACTCTCATCTTTTCAAAGTTGTTAGGATTTAGGTGCACAGATGTAAGGCCAGGCATAGCTTTCAGGGTGACGTTGTTGCAATCCATTTCGTACAATTTCTTTACAGGCTCGATGGAAACCTGAAATAGAAGCACTGTATATCAAGACGCGGATTTACATTCTTCAATTGTACTTAATAAACATGGCTTTAGAGAGCAAAATGTTTCTTCAAGTTGTTTTTTGTCAAAAAGCCCCCAAAAATTCCATGTGTCACACAATTACAATACAAAATCATGCCACATACCTTGCCATTTGGAGTACTCAGAGGACCTTTGAGGAGTGTGTTCCTTACACATTTCAGCAGATGGGGAAATTCGGACATGAAATGGAGGTAACGGGAAGAATCAACGGGGTGCTGAAGCTTGCTGGTGATATTGCCCGACTTCACGCTAATTCCCAGGATGTCCCACATTTTCCTGTTCCACGCGGCTCCATCGCACGTTACAAAATCAACAAATAGGCCGCTGGCTTCTGCAAGTATTGTTGCTTCAATCAAAATTTTTGCAAGCATCTTTCCTTTGACATTGGAGCTCGTTGCAAAGGCGCCAATAACCTGATTTCATTTTCCTGTCAACGGAACGAACATGACAATCATGCCGTGGTCACAGGGCACGTTTTGACCATCAGTCGTGAAGGGGCCCATGTCGACAAACCCTTCGATATGTCCAGTAGAAGTTACTGTCAAATATTTGGAGAGCTTCATTTTATCAACCAAGAGCCCACCACGTCTTCTGAAACTACTGATGTGTGTTGTCTTTTCTTTTAGATTCTTCAGCACCTTCTCATTAAATCCAAATCCGCTTTTTAACAGTCTGAGGTATCGCTTCAAGGTACTTTTACCTGGAAGGGAAATAATGTGGTGTTTGCGAAGATGCTCATAGAGTTTCGCACTCTTCATCTCCATGAGAATACACTCTAAAATCCAGTCTTTGGAGTAGACATTTCCCTTGGAGCTCCTTTTCTTCGCAGCGGAAAAACATTGCATGACGCACTGTTGCTGTTTTGGTGGCAAATTTTCAATCTGAGCATGAAGTACGTCTTCTGGTTTCGAGGCGTTTACCTCCTGCATTCTACGGAGCTCGTCCTTGAGGTTAGCTGATTGAGACGACAGCCTCCTGATCTTTTGCCTGGCTGAACGGAGCTTCTGACAAGTGCTTACGACATGCCTCCTGACAGACCTCTTGAGCCTTGACTGCCTCGTCAAAAGGGCCTTTCTGAGGTATTTGCAAGAGATGCATGCTTGACCTGAAAAACACAGTAACAAATTGAGACATTGCTGACGTAGTGTACACTCATCTAGACTAACATATTTGATGCTGAAAGCTGAAGCAATTATACAATAGTTCACAGAACCAATTAGCGACAATGAATCGTACCATCTGATGGCCCTTTTCTTACGCAGCGCTTGCTGAAATAGGTGCCTTTGTGAGTAGTCACTTGCTCTTGCAGTCCTCTTGTCAGGTCACACTTTTGCATGCTTTTTTCTTGACAAGCCACCTTTGCACGCAGCGTACGAGTCAACGTTTCGTAGAACATCCTCGGCCTCTCCAGGTCCAGCGATGTGTCCATTTTCTACCATTCGACCCCAGAGGTAGGCAGTGTAGGCGACGCCGGGCTGGTTATCCTCACCATCGTGTGAAAAGATAACTACTCTCTCTGATGCAATTTCATTTTCATCCATTTTCAGCTTGCAGTCGAGAGGAAATGTGCGATCAGCCACACGATGGCAACTCCAATATATGGAGGGCACATTAAGGGCCAGTAGATATTCGGGAGCGGATGATGCCCCGCAAACAGTAAGCACAGGTTTTGACATTACACCAGTCGAGCAGACATTACTTGAATCCAAATTGCCGGCTTCTTCATGGGCGCAAATGCTGGATCGTGGCGACTGGGGAAAGGGCATCATTGCTCAACCTTTTCCTAGGCAGTCGCGGCTGCGTTGCTTTTTTTGACAAATACGCCGCAGCGTTTGGCAATACCGTGGGTACCGCGTCAGGGGCGAGCTCCGGTTTCCCACGCGGGATCTGCACTTCTTTTCCATTCACAACGTGCACATAGTCTGTGATAATACACGACGGCTCAAAATGAAGCTCACACACGGCACATGTTTCTTCCAGGCTCTTGTCTTGCCGGTGCAAGTTGCACTCCCACAGTTTTCGCTTCTCTTCGTCTTTTGGCACAGAAAACAGGGACGGCTGCCGACTTTTCGTCCACTTGTACCCTGTCTGGCACCCCGAGGCAAAGCAGTGGCGTTGCCGTTTCCGCTTCGCCATTTCTGCTCAAACTTCAAAAAACCAAACAACACCCATGCACACCGAGAGCTGTTTACGCGCCGAGGAAGCCGATGCCACCGCTGCCACCGTTCTGCGGCTAGCCGCTACTGCCAGCCCACGCGACTGCAGCGCCGCCGCCTGCATCCGAGACTTTCTACATTCGCCGCTTCGTTGCTATGCATGGCGCACGCGGATCCTGGACACACTACCCAGAGCCCCCCTCTAGTGCACTGTATCTCGCTGCCACCATACTCTCGGCACGACCAACAACCCGTCGCGGCATCTGCTGACAGCTTCCAGAAACCAATCAATATTTTCCGAGAAGAACTTTCGCACAACGTATGGAAGACGGCGCATCGGCTGTTTCTTGATTCAACATGCTTCTTTCTTCTGCTAGAAAGTTAGAAAAGCGTTTCCCTAAATACATGGTAAGCATATATTTTTTTGTTACAGAATAGTTTATTATTTATATGTAGGGTTTCACGTCCCTGAACCACCATATGATTATGAGGAACGTCGTAGTTGAGTGCTCCGGAAATTTCTACCACCTGGGTTTCTTCAACGTGCACCCAAATCTGAGCACACAGGCCTACAGAATTTTCGCCTCCATCGCAGCCGCCGCAGCTGAGATTCAACCCCGAGTCATGCGGGTCACCAGCCGAGTACCTTAGCCACTAGACCACCACAGTTGGGCCTACAGGGTGGTGAACACTGTGTTAATAAACCTTGCCATCGTGCTTCGTGAAGCAGAATACAATGAAATGTTTAAGAAATAAAGTGCCTTTTTATGCCTTTATTACTCTCAAAGATAAAAAAAGTATATTCCATAAGTGTATATTTTTTCCACCTGATTGTTTTGTTTTTATATGAGGGCTCGCTACTTATACAGTATTTATTAAAAGTTTTAAATAGCGTTGTAAAGTGGCGTGTAGTTGTTTATAAGAAAACTATTTAATATAGAAGTTTATTGCTGCTATTACTGTGCCTACCTTGATCTTGTCACATCAAAGAATAAAAAATAAAAAATAGAGCAATACAGACTGCATATTTATACCAAGAAGGAAATCTTTACTTTTGCAGCTATGTACACAACTGTTGAACCTATTTCTCTGATGACTTATTATTTTCTTTCTTAAGAAGCTGCTTGACAGCATATTAGGCTAAGCTTCTATAATCTAAGCATGGGCAGATCTTTATAATTAACGCAACACGATGAGTTTGAGGTAGCCAATGTACAGACAGATGTACTGCATATGCCTAAACCCAGAGAAACGCTTCGCAAGGTAGCTACTATATCAAAACGTCATAATTTCCAAGCGAGTTCCTCCAATGGCTACAGAGGGAAATAACACAAATTTTGCTCAAAAACATACCTAACATATTATATAAAGCATTTAAGGAAAATATTTTCCATTCGACAAGCATAAAAACTATATCCTCGCTGATAAGGTAACTTCAAGTATATTCTGCCGCTATATTCATGAAAATAACTATACGTGATGCTTTACGCGCCACAACCAAAATATGATTATTATACGCGTCAAAACTATGATATATATTTAGTAGAGATATCCGGGAATTTTGACCACCTGGTGCCATTTAACGCGAAGGTCACGGGGTTGATCCCAGCCGTGGCGGTCACATTTCGGGGGAGGCGAAATAGTAGATGCCCGTGTACTGTCCCATCTGAGTGCACGTTAAAGAACACCAGATAGTCAAAATTTCTGAACCCCTCTACAACGGAGTTCCTCATAATCATATCCTGTTTTTGGAACGAAAAGCACAACAGTTTTATATTAATAGGTAATTACAAAGATATCACAAAATACTACTACATGGGGGACAGAATGGGAAATTATTCCACTCCGTATTTCCCAAATGAAGATCACCTTCAGTGTGAAGTTAAATAAAAATTAGCACGAGTGACGGCATTATTCGAATCAGGCACATGCTGACGGGCTGTCCCGTTGATATGGCCGACACTGAAAAGAATGGCTTAACTGACAAATGATGGAGGGAAGCTTCTCTTATCGAAAGGAGGGCAAACTTATCCAGCTATCCGTTCAAATGTTTATCTCTGTGGGTTTTCTTATCAAGATCAACAACGTACTGTCCAAAAGGTCCACAATACCACCGTAAGGCTCAGCCTGATGGTACCGACGTGGACGAAGCGCACCTCGGTCTGAAAAGACCGGGCTTCAGGACCTTAATAGTGTTAAATGAACGAATGAATGAATGAATGAATGAATTAATGAATGTCTAAAGTACTCTGTGTTGAACAAAGCAACTAAAACGCACACCAAAAGATGAATGTGACCGAAAATTATAATATATTCACCAGGTACACCATGATAGTCTGAGACGTACCACTGGGCTAAGGGGTTAATCATGACAATGGAGAGCAGCACAGATCAGCACCAAGGATGGCGCAAAACATAATAGACGAATGACTGCGTAAAGTTCACCGACAGTTCTGCGGGGGCATAGGGACTAGACAAACACATAAGGCATCTGCGAAGAGCCTCCTTCCAGCGCTTATGTTTGTCATTATTAGGTTCTGGTTTGTCATGTACGTTGCGTCAAGCTCTTCTACGTTTGTCGTAGTTTATTTTTATCCGTCCTAGTTTTTTGTAGCACTGAATTTGCTGCAAAAAGTCGTGTCAAATGTGTTCGCAAAAGAATCACACCTGTTTGGCCGGGAACGGCTCAATGTAGGTGTGTTCAGGACGACCGGTGAGGGAACTGCCATCGCCAGCGACGCCTCCACCACCACCACCACCTCCCATGGTGGCGTTAAGGTGACCTCTGTGCACACCGCTCAAAGGTGAGTCTGCATCACCAGAGTACACCGATATGTGCGTGGTGGCGTACGGAGAAGGGAAGTAGAGGGGGTCGCCACGTGGGGCCTCGTAGACCTTCTTGCCGACGGACGTCATTGAAATAGAGTCGCCCTTCATATCACCTCCACATGCACGTTCTGCAAAGTAGCAGTAGAAAAAGAGAAAAAGAGAGGAAAATGTAAGAATAGGCGCAGAGTCATCGAAGTCAATCAAGGCACGTTACCTGCTGGTTCCGCAGTGTTAGGAAAAACAAGTTGCTCTCCAGAAGCAAAAAATAAACAAATTGCGAACCAAATCATGAACAGGTGCCATCGAAGTGAAACATCGCAGTTTGAAGAAACAACTGTTTTGTTTCTCACATCCATTGTATTTATTATTCGCAAGAAAAAACTGTGCAGCTGAGAAACTGGGTGACTCACAAAATATGTTCATACTAGAGTTGTTCTGAAGAGGAAATCTCACGTTAGCCTGATGTTTGGCATAGCATCATCTACTGTATGTGAATGTAAACGCTATAAAGAAGAACGTGATTCCAGCAACTAAAGTATTAGCGCAAAATTTATGAGTAATTTTGATTACCGCTTCATCAAAATTGAAAAAATTGTCAACTGCCGATACATCATGTGATGGTGTTTTTTGAAACATTATCATTTTCATAACAGGTTCCTCATTTTCAAAAAGACAGACTCTCTAATGTGTGCTGGGACTCAGCATTAACTTTGTGATCTCCTGAACACAAACGCATGGGTACTCGAATTTGTTTTTATGAAACGTAGGACGATTCATCTTTTTCACATGATTCGGGAAGTTGTAAGCACTTCCGGAAATAATTGGTAGATTTTTGTACAATGCTTCCTATGGAAGAACATTTGGGTGAGTTAGGATTCCATTGTTTTTCAGGAACCATAGCGCACTAAACGAACACGAGACAAGATTAACACAAAACAAGCGCCACCTTGTGTTATGCCAACTTTAACATGCCCACCTTAAATATATATATGATCTTGTGAATTGCCAAGAAAATACCAAGAAGGGAGTGAAACTAACTGCAGACGGCAGCAGCTAGCAGAAATGGTGTGACAAAACCTTCCGTGGCCTAACAGAGACTGTCCACCTGATCCTTCATCTGATGGCAATTTTTCCCAACCTGTTGAGCTCCGTCGAAGGACTTATGCTAGTTTGACATAAAAAAACCTCATTACTAACTGACCAGCGGCACTGGTAAATTATCCGTGTGATGATTGGCTTACATAACGTCATGTGATTCATGAGCAGACCTAGAACTGATTCATGAGTTTACCGGAAACTTGAGCCGTGGCACTGTAGTCGTGAGTTCTGGTACGGCGGTTGCACATCATGTAAACTACGGCGCCGATGACCAGCACAACGACGAAGGCACAGATAATGGGCACCACGAGGGTCACACTCCGAGGAAACGCCATGCTCTCTTCGGGGTGCAGAGTCATTGGTGGTATAGTGGCTGCACGGAGACAAAACGAAAGAAGAACTGGTTAACACTTCACCCTTGTGATCGGTGAAGTGCACGCTGAGAAGTTCCTGCAGACACGCGACATCGAAGGGGCAGCTGTGGGCACTGTGGTGAGCATGCCGCGGGTGAGAGAGGTAGTGACATCTGCGCGCGTGACCTACTTGGTATCACTCCAACACCTGCGGCGAGGGGAACGCGTTGTGGCGTGTTAGTACGGATGAACGTACGTACGGCGTTACGCACGTGAGCCAAGGGCTGCTTTACATATAATAAATCATCGTTCCATCATTTACGTAAATTTGGTCGGGCAGCCAAGCTGTTTTAGGTTAATCGCGTGGTACCTTGGGTGTTAAGCGTACAACGCTGCGTCTTCGTCGTTTCTGTTAACCGCCGAGTTCTTTCATAAGCAGCTTCCTCCTTGGCAGTGCTGGTGGCGCGGACTGCCCCACATCTACCCATATTGAATTAGGCGAAGTCTGTTCGTGTGAAACTGCAACCCGCGTCGTTTCGCAATCCAATCGTACAAACGTGCGCGAGTGCATATAATGATTAGCTAGCGAGATCTTGTGATGTCATGAATTAGCCCCTATATTTGGAATATGTTGGTTTATACCTGATTGATTAACGCTAGATCACGTGACTGGCAGGCTCGGCCTGTGGCTTTTTAACGGACGCCTATTACGAGCACCACCACCACCCCATGCCAAAACTACTACTATTCTTACTACTACAACTACCACTGTTGCTGCTGTGGCACAAGCTATATGCAAAGATAGTTTAGCTCTGAGAATTCATGTGTCCTGCTGAGCGAAAAGTAAAAGCAGACACTCCTAAATATCAGAACCAACCTCCACCAGCTGTGAGCGTGGCGAAGACGAACTGCGCCTCGGTGGAGCCGGCGTCGTTAGAAGCGGACACGAGAAGGTGGTACCATGATCCCGGATGCAAGCCTCCGAGCACGTATGCATCGAAGGCAACGGCATCGATGGTCTCCGGGACAGCCGTCCAACCGCGCTCTTCACGCAGCTTGTACTGCAAAGTGATGAAGCGGATAGGGCAGCCACCGTCCTTCCAGGAGCGCAGGTTCAGCTGCACGGCGCTGGAGTTGCTCGACAAAAGCTCGTTTTTCTCCGGCGCCAAGGGAGCTTCGGGAAGTGAGGAAGTACATTAATGAGGAGACGCAAGATAAAAAGATGGCAAGATGAAGGTTAACATCAGTACCAGCAAAACTGGCTCACTTTCCTAGACTGAGGAACCGGAGGACTGACAGATACAGAATAGAAAGGAAGCAAAAAGTGTAAAGCACATGATACTGAATATGCATGTATGTGAATACCTAGGGAACAAGAAGACCTAGATGGACAGCGTAGTTACGCATTTGTAATAAGTTTGATGAATTATCAACTCGTTCAATTATCTATACGTTAAAGAGAATGGGTGCATGTATTTGCCGAGTTTCATTGTAGTTAATCCGAAAGGACAAAAAAGGCGCATTTTCGTCTCCTCTTGGCGTTCTTAAAAAAAATAAGACATGTAGATATCGTGCAAAGCACCGTGATCAGGATGAAAAGAAATAGCTTCAATTGAATTTCTCTGAACAGTGGTTTTATAAAATAATAGAAAAATATTTGGCAGATCCCACGTACTTGGGAATCAACAATATGCGAAGCATGCGGGGGAAAGGTGACCATGTTGGAATTTTTTTTTTCTGAGCGACACGCCATAAATGACGCTAAATATAAAATATTTCACGCACAGACATATGTTGAAGAGTTGCAGATGTTTATACAATCAGTTTTCCACTTGCTCATTGATGTCAGCTGGAAATGTGTTTTAGCAACACCAGAAGCTGAGATGAAGCTCTGATGCTCGCGAACATGCTGGCCCTTGACACTGCTATTTGAATCACTTTCAGCACATGGAACCTCACCCCATTTGGCGTTTACCTGACGTGACGGCTGTATGAAAGGGGTACTTATGTAATGTTTATAAAATTGGGTAGGCAGCACTGCAACCACTATTGACGTTTTATGAATATCAGAGTCTATTTGAAGAGTAGTTCTGAGACCTGGCGTAGCTATGTGGTAGAATGCGTGACTGCCACGCAGAATGTTCGGGTTTGATTCCTGCAGGGACCATGAAATTTATTATTTGCATTCGTCGGTTGGCAACGCTGCCTATGTCAGGTTTTTCTTATCACTGACAATCATTCTATGCCTTCGTTGGGTCGGTGCTACCGATGTCGGGTATTGCTTAACGCTCACGCGTTAAAATTGCACATGTGTGTTTTCGTCACACCTGGGTAGATAATAAGTGTACATCACCTGTGGCACATACCCGCTTACCAGCGGCATATACCCGCCCGTTAGTATGTGCCATGGTCTGACGGGAAGTGTTTGACGGTGTACGCGACAGGATTGTGACATTATTCATGTCTTAACCAGCGTGTCATATTTGTCAAACCATCTTACCCTCTCATGCTGATTTTGGTTCACGCCAAGTTAAGGGGGTGACCACGAGCGCATCCAAACGTAAGCAGCCAGATAGATAGATAGATAGATAGATAGATAGATAGATAGATAGATAGATAGATAGATAGATAGATAGATAGATAGATAGATAGAAAGACAGACAGACAGACAGACAGACAGACAGACAGACAGACAGACAGACAGACAGACAGACAGACAGATAGATAGATAGATAGATAGATAGATAGATAGATAGATAGATAGATAGATAGATAGATAGATAGATAGATAGATAGATAGATAGATAGCCCCGCCGTGGTGGTCTAGTGGCTAAGGTACTCGGCTGCTGACCCGCAGGTCGCGGGTTCGAATCCCGGCTGCGGCGGCTGCATTTCCGATGGAGGCGGAAATGTTGTAGGCCCGTGTGCTCAGATTTGGGTGCACGTTAAAGAACCCCAGGTGGTCTAAATTTCCGGAGCCCTCCACTACGGCGTCTCTCATAATCATATGGTGGTTTTGGGACGTTAAACCCCACAAATCAATCAATCAATTAGATAGATAGATAGATAGATAGATAGATAGATAGATAGATAGATAGATAGATAGATAGATAGATAGATAGATAGATAGATAGATAGATAGATAGGCAGGCTCGAAGTAACCGAAGTTTGCTAAGAAATGCTTCTAATTTAAAATTCTGTGAAATTGATGTACAATGTGCGAGGTCGTGAGCACTGCATGGTGTGTTATTCACACATACTCACCTGCTCGTAGATGCGGTATGTGGTACTGCGCTGCTGAATGCTCGTAATTGACCCAATTGATAAAAATATCCATTCTTTGTCGGGGGCGAAAGCCAACGGAAAGGCACTAACGGGCTTATCACCCAGCTCTACAGTCGCCCCAGGCTCAGTGGTTTCTATAATGAGCTGTGTTCTGCCGGTGGACAAAGTGACTCGAATGATAAACTCGTATGTTTGTACATAACATAACGCACAACTTGGCAAGTCGGTCTTCAATAATAACGAATGGTATTGCGGAGCGCTAAATACGAGAATAAAGAGGAAAAAGCAGACACGAGTTTTTATGAGAACCTTTGCATGATTGTATTCTATGGGATCGGACTCAGCATACACACTGTTTTGGTGATCCAAGAATAATTGAGGCGCTTCAACGTTTTGTGTCTTTCATGGGGACATTAGTAACATCGAACCTTCTATCTGGCGGTGCCCGCATTTTGAAAGGGAGAAGGCAGCGATGGTAAGCGGCTTGCAAAAAGGTTGTCACAGGCACGGGACAGTTAAAGATTTCCTGTTCCTGAAAGGCCCATGGCAACAGTAAGGAGCGTGCAATGCATTCTCGGTGCTTTTTTCAGCAAGACCCTGTGTTGTGTGACGTTTGTTGATAGACCATTACAATTTAGGAGATGCTCAAGTAGACCAAGTGGCGGCCATTTAGGTAAAGCTAACTCCGTCTGTTGCAGCAACACAGCCGCCACCACCACCACCAATACGCAGCTCATTCTGGAAATCACTGAGCCTCAAGAGATTGCAAAAGTGTGTAAGAAGTGCCTTAGTGTCCCTTTGCTCTCTATGTCAAAAATCCGGTGGTGGTTTGGAAAATCCTTTTTTTTCCGGTGGTGGTTCTGTTTACTTTGTGACTGTTGTCTTTTTTGTTCATTGCTCACGCATTAACAATCCATGTGTCTGTACACAAACTGCTTCACTGGTACCCTATGTTTAGCTGAAAGTTCTGGCTGGGTTAATCTCACTCTGCTTCACGCCTCCATTTTTTTGTTGGGCAACCATGCTCAAGTATACCAACTATTGCTTCCCCAAATCAACTGCAATACTTACCATGAAAAGTTTTTCTCTTGTTTTTTGCCACTTATGATGTTGACGTTGCTAATACTTTGTTCACTGTGCTTTGTTTGTCCTCGTGACCATGCATATAGAAAAATAATGTTTTCTGAACACAAAACGCAATAGATCCCTCCAAACATACACAATTAGTATAAACAGCTGGAGAACACAGACTGTTGAAATGATTGGGCTTTGACAGTCATGCCTGTAGATGCTGTAAGCTTGTGCCCTGGCTTCCCAAAGTGTGAAGGAAAGTTTTATTATTTTTAATGCATTATTTTTCGTCATGTCATACCTCTGTTTTCCTGTGCGTTGCAATCACTCCTTTTGTTAACAGTGAAACGAATGTTACAAAGGTACTGAAGGCTTTTAATATAGGGGACAGAATGGAGACAGCTGTTTGTTGTTGTTGTTGTTGTTGTTGTTGTTGTACTTGCCCATAATTGTGCTTTTAGGTAGCAGCAACAGTGAAAAATATGCTGAGATCACATAGGTTGCTTTGAACAACGACATTAAAAATGTGTGAGTTTTCGCACTGCCGTTCATGCATCATCGTCAAAGCTGGGTCTCCTATATGACCGCCAGGTGCGCAAGAAGTCAGTGCCGCATCAATAGTCTTACAAACTAAATGTATAAGCAAACATAAATTGAAAATTGGCCGTTTGCACCTGCAGCTGCATTGCAATACGGCCTCTACGGGCTTCGAAAGCTGATACATCTTAAATGAATCTTAAGAGTTGCCCTTAATCGCAGTGATCCCTACAGAGACGTAAAAAAACACACTCTATTTAAAATATGGCCTCAAACCTCTGTGCGTATACTATCGAGGAGTCAGCTTAACGAATTCTCATCATGGCGTGAAACTTCCAAGCAGCTAGCGCTACCCAAAATGCGGAACAGAGTTTCGAAATTGTCAAATCAGGTTCACCTTGTAAAAGAGAAGAAAAAAACTTGATTGCGTTAACTGAGACTTAGGAGCATCCAGAACTGCTTCCATAATCTCGTTTCGCAGCCTTAAGAAGCAGAAATAAAGCACGAGAGGTTGAAATAAAGGTAAAGCTAATCAACATCGCACGTAGAATGTAGCAACCTTCCACCGCTATTTTGTGCACTCAAGGCAATCAGCTCCCGCCCGTTCGAATGACCGCTAGTGAGAGAGAGAGATAAAGATGCAAGGAAAGGCAGGGAGGTTAACCAGACACTCATCCGGTTTGCTACCCTGCACTGGGGAAGGGATAAAGGGGAGAAAAGAGGTTGTAAAGAGATGAGAAGGTACACACAATCACGAGCACACTCGGGGAGCACACACAGTCTACAGGCGGTCGCTCAGGTTTGTTCACTTTAGGTAAATTAGCAGTGCTTTAGTTGCTTTCTGCGCAACTGAGGCAGACGCCCAAGGTCCTAGTATCTTCTGCACACAAAATGGTCCGGGGTCAAGTTGATTCAAAACCATCCGGAGCTGGAATCGCTGTGTGTCGTAGCAAGCGCAGCTGCACAGGACGGTTTCGATGGTCTCTTCAGCTCCGCAGTAGTACCAGGTAGGAGTGTCTGCCATACCAGTGCGAAAAGAGTACACCTTTGTAAATGCAACAACCAACCAAAGGCGGCATAACAGTGTCGCTTCGGAGCGGGAAAGTTGTGATGGTAGCTTTAGCTTGAGCGAAGGATCCAGTTCATAAAATTGACACCTTTGGAAGCTGGTAGACGACCAAAACGTGCGTGTGAGATCTCGAGCCAGCAGGTAAAGTTGTCTTGCTGCATCATTCCTTGATAGAGGAATCGGGACTACACGGGTTTCTTGATGGGCTGAGC